TTTCCCTGCTTGGCAGCTTAGCGGTGCTCTTGGCGTGGCTAACCCCATCCTTTGACATGAGTGTCTGAGACGGTGCTGTTCTCCAAGCTGTCGCTTGTCAAGAAGACAAGCAAAATCATTACTTTTTGAAAACCCTTTTCTTTTTATCTCATTTTTTATGAGCATATGTTCATGGTACAAAACAGTGGGTGTCATGTGACATTTTCATGTGTTCATCCAGTGCACTTTGATCATACTGCACTCTCATTCCCCTCTCCTGTCCCCTGTTCTCTCCTACGGGTTCCTCTGTCCCCTCTTCTATTTCTGTGTCTTTTTTTTTGTTTGTTTGAATCTGCATTCTACATGGGGATTCAAGCCTTTCTGAGTCTGGCTTCTTTCTCTTTCCATGAGGAGCTCCAGGTTCCATCCATTTTCCTGCAAAGGACGTGATTTGGTTTTTCCTTATGGCTGAATAAAACGCCATTGTGTAAACATCACATTCTTTATCGTAGCCATCCATGGGTTGATGGCCACTTAGACCAGTTGCGTGGCTTGGCTGTTGTGGGTACTGCCGCACTCACCGTGGATGTGCGGGGATTTCTGCTATTCTGACTTGATGTATGTACCCGAGTGCTACAGCTGGGTCATGTGCTAGTTCTGTCTTTAAAACTTGTCAGCAATAACATATTATGTTACCCAAGTGGATTTATTTACAAGGAAAAATTTAATTTTTAATTGTAATAAGTATTATTTGTGTGCGTGCATGGATGCACATCCCACAGCACCTGCATGAGGTCAGAGGACAACACTGGAGTTGATTCTCTCCTTCTCCCTTTTACATAGGTTCCAGGGTTCTTATGCAGGTCACCAGGTTTCCCTGGCAAGTGTCTCTTTTAACTCACCGAGCTATCCAGCCAGCCCCATATTGTCTCTATATATGCTTACTTTAGAGAAAATAAACCTTTTAAGGAGAGAGGATTCTTATCCTCCTTCCATCTCCTGTACTAAGTGTGCATTTATTTATTTAAAAATTCCTTTTAATTTAAATTTTAAATTTTTATCTATTTTAATTTTATAAATATTGTGTTTTACTGTTCTGTGTGATTGTGCAAGCACCATGTATATTCGGAGTCCACAGAAGCCAGGAGATTATTTTGGATGCTCTGGAACTGGAGTTAGCAGCCATGTCAGTGTGGGGTCCTCTGGTAAAGCAGTCTGTGCTCTTAACCAGTGAGCCATCTCTTCAGTCCTGAATGTGTATTTAGGCGAAAAAAAAAAGATTTCTGGGGCCTGTTAAGAACATGTCCTGCTCTTCTAGAGGACCTGAGTTCAAGTTCCATCACACACATCAGGTGACTAACAAACACCTGTAAGTAACTACAGCTTCAGGGGCTTCTTTGAACATGTGCACGCGTGCACGCGCGAACACACACACACACACACATACACACTTTTAAAAAGTAAAGGAAGGAAAAAGAAAAATTGTTTTTAACAAACAACATAAAAACAAACAAAACAAAACCCAAAGCCAAGTAAAAAATGGGGTTTCTTTTTACTCATGGAAATGAAAGGTCTGAGATCCCCTAGCTTCAGGCTGTGATCCACATGCTGTCCTCCAAGGTGGCCTCAATGTCAGGTTCCACCCGGTGGCAGGATGACAGGCTGTGGCTCCAGCCCTGCTCCGTCCTGCAGGAGAGAGAGAACATTGCCTCCGACAGAGTCAGCAAATGCCATCCTCCTAGGATGGAAGTAGTGTATCACGAAGCTGGGGCACTGTGATATTGCAGGGGTGGCACTGAGTCACCTGTGCCCCATGCTGTTTTGGAGGAGTCTGCCTTTGGGAGATGGGAGGAGATGGATATTGGGAACCTACAAGTGTGTAGATTGGAATATACCTCAGTCTCCATGGGCAAAGTTTTCAAGTTATTTCTCTCAAATCTGACCCTTTGTTAACCAGAGGAACTTGGGATATTTAGATTTTAATTTTTCTCTAAAATACCCCTACACATCATGGTCTCTCTTTTTCACCTTTGCCATCTCCCAGAAACCAGACCACTACCACTTATCTCTCTTTCTGTAAATTTCTTTTTCCTTTTTAAGGAAAGGAGAAGGCAGGACTTGGTGGTCACACTTTAAATTCTGGCATTCAGGAAGTAAAGACAAGGGGATCTCTGTAGATTCAGTCTCAGTCTAATCTATATAATGAGTCCTGGGTCAATAATTTCCCAGGTTATGTAGTGGAACCCAGTCACACATTTGGTCTCACATATACAGATGGTGGTGATGATGATGATGGTGGTGATGATGATGGTGATGGTGGTGATGATGATGGTGGTGGTGATGATGATGGTGATGATGATGACTGAAAGCCTCCTGTAGGGAAGCCTATTTTCATGGCTTCTCCTAATAAGAAAGCAAGAAAGGCTGTTGTATTGCGCATGTCACTCAGGAGACTGCGGCAGGAGGACTGCAGTCAGTTCAAGGAGAGCTAAGGCTATATAGCTGTTACGAAAACAAAAACAAGCAAACAAACAAAAAACAAGGCAGGAGGTTGGGGACCCATTTATTTGGCTGTTGTTTTCTTTAGTTTAGATTCTTGAAAATAGAAATGTGATTTTTTTTTTTACTCAAAGTCACCTTAAAGGCTTCCAAAATTTGATTCCAGATTTGAGTCACACAGAAATTACAGATCAGACCTTTATAGCACTGTATGTGCTTGTTAAACCAATCATCTTTGTGCCTGAGTTTATTCGTGTTTGCATGGATAGTTTGGGTAGAGAGTAGATAAACAGATGGATAGGTACGCATACATACATATATAATATGTATGTGCATAGATATGAATAAAGTACCTAGCAGTGGGTAACAATATTTTCCATTAATCTCTCTCTCTCTTTCTCTCTCACTCTCTATTAATCTCTCTATATATCTCTATTAATATATATATATGTTAATATAAATTCATTTAATCCTTGTAACCCCATTTTGGCAGATAGTATCTGTTTTACAAGTTTGTGAGGTAAGTCCCCATGCGGTTCAAATCGGCAGAGAGAGATCTGAACTGAGCCTGTCAGGCTGTTTCACAGTCCCACCAGATGAGTTGTGCGTAAGTGAACTGCTACAGTGTCTGTGAGGTGCCTGTCTTGGTGTAAGTTCCCAGGCTAGTATGGGGAAGCATCGACATACCATAACAGAGGAGGTAGCGAAAGATGAACTGAGAACCTATTAGTGTGAGCCCTCGCTCTCTGTGCTCACCAGCACTGTGGACTTAGGCCACTACTTTCTCTCATCCCTGCATTGGTAAAGAGTAGATCGCAGAGCCGCTGTGAGGGACAGGAGATAGATACACATTCTAGTCTGCATTTCACCCCTTTCCAGCTCCGTGGGGTGGGGAAGGCCTCCATAGGCTATGAGTGTCGGAGGTAATAAAAACCTGCATCCAGTTCTTCACCTGCTACCCACATGTTCATAGTCTTGGTGAATCCTGTTTCTTTTATTTGTAAAGTGAGTATTTGCACCCTGTAGGATAAAAGAATGACACACTATTTGTAAAATGTCCCCATCTCCTTTTCTTACCTGGCCCTCAGGTACTAATTTTTTAAGGCCCAATTGAAGTCAAGAGGATCAAAACCAGAACCCTCCTTCTTTGAGAGGCCCTTCTCCATGGCTTTAGCCCCTGCCTACAGCATTCTTTGACATTCTGTTCATACACATGTCTCTACCACCTCCTGGGTCCATTAGTTCACCAAGCAGAATTCCAGAGATATAGGGATCCCTCTAAAAGTAAGATTGTAGCAATAGAAAGACTTTTTAAAGAAGCCAGATAACAGATAAGAATTAAGTAAGTACTAAAGGGGCTGGAGAGCTGGCTCAGCAGTTAAGATCACTTCCTACTTTTCCAGAGGATCTGGGTTTGAGTCCCAGCACCCACATGGTGGCTCACAACCTTTTGTAATAGTAGTTTCACAGGATCTCATGCCCTCTTCTGGCCTCCAGGGGAATTGCATGCATGTGGTACATAGGCATACATATATAAAAACACCCATACATGCAAAATAAAAAAAAGTATTTTAGATGAAAACAAATAATTGATAAAAATTCAGTGATTAAGAGCCATTGATAGTAAAGGTGCCTTATAGAGGAAATAATGTATGTTAGAAGCTGCCTGCAGGGGGCAGGGGATGTAGCTCAGTGGGTAGAGTGCTTGCCTAGCATTTGTGAAGCCCAAGATTTGATCCCCAGCAACATATAAACCAGGCCTGGGTCATATAATGTTAGCACTAGGGAGGTGGGGACAGAACCAGAAGTTTAGAGTCATGCTCAGCTATATAGAACCATGGTGACGTGAGATCCAGTCTCAAACAAACGAACACCCCCCCAAAACGAACACCCAATGAAACAACCAACAGAATGCTCCCAACAGAACAAACAAGTAAATCTGCTTCTATGGGAAAAAATGACTTTCATGTTATTTTTGAAATACCAGGAGTTATTTGCAGAGGAAAAGACCCTTGAATGCAGAGAAAGTATTTGCTTAGAGTTTTTCATTGCTGTGATAAACACCATGATCAAAAGCAACTTGGTGTGGGCAGGGTCTACTTCAGTTTGCTCTCTGTCATCAAAGGAAGTCAGGCCAGGAGCTTAAGGCAAGAACCGGGAGGCAGGAACGGATTCAGATACCATGGAGAGTGCTGCTTACTGGCTTGTTCCTCATGGCTTCCTCAGCTCGCTTTCTTCCATCATCAGGACCACCTGCCCAGGACTGGTACTACCCCTGTGGGGTGGGCCCACCTACTTCAATCGCTAAGAAAACGCACTTAGACTGTCTACAGGAAACGTTTTCTCTGTTGAGAGGCCCTCTTCCCAAATGACTCCAGCTCATGTCAAGTCGCCATGAAACTAGCCTGCACAGCACTGCACACAGTTGTTGATGAATATGCACAGCCCACGTTTATAATCATCTCAACTCTGGAACTTGGTTGTATGTAACTCTTTGTTTCTTGTTTTTGTGTGTGTTTTAGATGGAACAGATTAAACGGGCCAATAAACTGTTTACCAATGACTGTATATTTCTGAAGAAGACTCTGAGCATCCCAATTCTATCAGAGAAGCCTTTGCTCTTTAATGGACTTAACTCCATTGATTCTCCGGAAAAGGAAACTGTTGACAGCAGTCTTTGTCATGAAGAGGAGCCTGTGGTGGCTGGGGAAGAACTGCCCCCTCCCAGTCCTCAGGATCCAGATCCCGAGCCTGCGCAGCCTGAAGAAGTGTCTGCCAGAGATTTCCTTCAGAGACTTGACTTGCAGATAAAGCTATCAACACAGGCAGCCAGAAAACTCAAAGAAGAGAGCAGGTGACAGTTTCTGGGATAGGTGTTAGAGTTTGGACCAGAATACTCTTACAATGTTCTTGTTTGAAATCTATCTTAATTGTAGAAAGTGTGTGTGTGTATGTGTGTGTGTGTGTGAGTGTATGTGTGTGTGTGTGTGTGTATATACAGGTGCACGATTGTGCAGGTATGTGTATGCACAGGAGTGCGGTGGTCAGAGGTCAACTTTGGATGTCATTTTTTTTTTTTTTGAGACAGTGTTTCTTTGTATACCTTTGGCTGTCCTGGAACTCACTCTGTAGACTAGGCTGACCTCGAACTCACAGAGATCCACCTGCCTCTGCCTCCCAAGCACTGGGATTAAAGGTGTGCACCACCACCACCCAGCATCTACCTTGTAATTTTGGGATCAAGTCTTTTGAAACTGGCTAACTAGGCTAGGTTGGTTGTTTGGGGAATCTCCCTGGCCTTGGCCTCACCAGCACTGGGATTATTATGGGTTTGCTCCCATGCCTAGCATTTTATGTGGATTCCTGGGATTGAACTCAGGTCCTCAGGCTTGGGCAGCAAGCTCGTGGACAGCCTCCATCTCCTCAGCCCTAGAAAGCCATCTCTAATCTATGGAATCCAAGCTGACTGCTCCCTGCTGCACGGGCCGTGTCTGTTGTCCTGGTGCTGTCACTGTTATTTAGCGTAAGAAGTTTGCTTCTTTGTCCAGCTAGCAGTTGGAAGTAGCAGCTGGAACTAGAACAGCTCATGAGACCGTCAAGGAAATCAGTGCCCTAGAGAAGACACGAAATACTGATTCTTAGAACCCTTGTCAAGACACTGCTCCTGTTGACTAGGATCCCCAAAGGTTCCTCCTATAATTTGAAATTTGAACCTCGGGCAAACCTCCCTCTCTCTGTGTAATTGGTGCCCTTCTTCCTGTATGACTTCATGATGGGACACAAGATACTGGTTCCTTTTTTTCTTGTTTGCAGCTTTTTTTGTAAGTAAAATTGATGCGAGGGGTCTTGTAGTAGAGAGGCCGCTTGTTCGTTTCCCTGCTGCCCAGACTCATCACCCAGAAATAATCACACAGAAACTGTATCAATTAAATCACTGCTTGGCCTACTAGCTCTAGTTTCTTATTGGCTAGCTCTTACATCTTAATTTGGCCCATTTCCATTATTTTTTTATTTTACCATGAGGCTCGTGGCCTACCGTCAAGGTTCAGGTTAGTGCCTTGCATCTTTCTCCTCTGGTGGCTCCATGGCGTCTCTTGACTCCACCTCCAACCCCCCAGCTCTGTTCTACCCTAGTTTCTTTATTCATTAACCAATAAAAGCAACACATATACAGAAGGACTTCCCATATCAGGGTCAACCACTTTGTCTTTTTTTTTTTAAATGGTTAATACATTGATTTCTTAGTCCTTGTTTTAAAATTTCTGGTTTATAATATATACCATTTTTTATAGATCTCGAATCCTCTTTTATTTTTATTTATTCATTTGTTTTTGAATAAACACAATGTTTCGGTGTAGTTCAGCTGGCCTCAAAGTCTTGGCAGTCCTCTGCCACAGCCTCCCAACTGGCATGAGCCACCACTCCTGGCTTTTAAATCCTTTTGAGAAAGAAGGAGGAATATAGACAACAAAACAAATATGATTTAGTGCATGTTTAATACATTCAAATTTTATGTAAGCTAAGTAAGCAAGTGCTACTGTTTATTCTAATAACTGAGTGTCCCTTAGAAGAGGGGAGACGGTTCACCTGAACAAGTATGACTGTCCCTGGCTTCCAAGGCACACACTATGTTTTGTTGGTATAGTTCTGCTCATCTTTGGCAAACGGGTAGTAAGTTGTATGTGTGTGTTTCTGAATAGTTATAAGCACTGATCTCTGCTGTGTTTCACTTTTTCAGGGATGAAGAAAGCCCCTATGCCGCTTCGCTCTATCATAGTTAGTGACCGGTGGACATCACTCTATCCCAGATCACAACATGCTGGACCCTAAAGAATCCACCGGCTGGGGTTTCCGAGGCAAACGCCACCTCTGGACTCCCATAGCGTGCACCTTTGAGCCACAGTTAAGTAGAGCAACTGCAGCTGCGCTGAAGTGATCGATCCCTCTGGCTTCCTGTAGTTAAGTCTTATTATGGCATGATAGCAAAACTGTATTCTAAAGCCTATCACTTTGGTAGACGGTGGTAGTTTTAGACTGGCTTTTGTAGCTACAAAGAACATCAGAGACTATTTATATATTTAAGCCAAAAGCAATGTTTATTTCCTGATGAGATCCTAAATGTATGGAAAACTTGGTGGCTGTAAAGTGATAATGCATTTGCTGTGTGTTTATAGTTCAAGTGCTATAGTATATATTTCAATATCACATATTCTGTACTACTGTAAAGAACCAAATTTTGTCTGCTATTTTGTAAAAGTAAAATACAAATGTCTGGGTGAGAAAATAAACTATGTTTTCACATAGGAGCCTTCTTTTCTTTTTTCAAAATGGAGAAATAAAGTTGATTTTTGTTTTGTTTGTTTTTTGTTCAAAAGATGGGCTTTTTTTTTTTGTTCAAAATATAAGGATTCCTGTAGTCCAGGCTGACCTTGGACTCTGTGTAACTGAGGATGACCTTGAACTCCTGATCCAGTTTTTTTCTATCTTCCAAGTGCTGAGATTACAGAAGGACACACAAAACGACACCAGCATGAGACACAGTGAATCTTGTTTAGGTTTTATCTGTGTCACTTCAGACACTACACTTTACAGTGTATCAGCACTGCTCATTCGAATTAAAAGTTAGGTTTTTGCTTCATTTAATTCATCTTGCCTTTATTATGTGTATAGATTGTAGCAGCAAACTTTAAGCTATATACTATTGACAATTGATATATTTTTAGTCTTGACTTCTGCTCAATTACTAGATTAAATATGTTTAACTAGGTTAAATAAGCCTTTAGGGTTGGGTAGAAATTCCCATAGTTACCCTCCCTAATGCCCTCCCAGGAGCCTGTTTTCTGTGGAGTCAAAGGGACTTTTGTTTCCCTGTTTTCATTGCCCCTTTCTTCTTCTCTGTTAGTTTTCCCTCCCTGTTTTGTTCCTTCCCCATCAGGAGCAGGTGCCCTGGGGTATAAGTGGAACAGAGCCTGTGGTACCAGGTCATTGTTGTCGTTACTTTTCAGTGACTGTGCTTAGAGGCCGTGACCAAGACAACTTCTAGAAGAAAGAGCTTTTGGAGGGGGGCTTACAGTTTGAGATGGTGAATCCATGACCGTTAGGATGGGCAACATGGCAGCAACCAGGCAGGCAAGCGTAGTGCCGAGCCAGTGCTGAGAGCTTACATGTTGACCCACAAACGTGAGGCAGAGTGAACTAACTGGGAATTGCCCGGGCTTCTGGAACCTCAGAACTCCCCCGTCCCCCAAGTGACACACCTCACCTCTCCACACCTTTCTAATCCTCCCCCAACAGTTCCACCATCTGGTGACCACAGGCTCACATATATGAGCCAATGGGGGGCCATCCTTATTCGAACCACCATAATCCCATAATCACCATGATCACTGGCCCTTGGGAGGGATAGTAGGTGCCATGATGGGAAGCAGAAGCTGTTTCATATTCTTTTGCTGATTTGTTTGTTTCTCACTTAACATAATGCTTTGTGTTTTGTTCTTTGTTTCTCATAGGACCCGTGAAATAAGAAGAAAAAACTAACTAAATAACAAAAAAAAAATCTCTCTCTCTCTCTCTCTCTCTCTCTCTCTCTCTCTATATATCTATATATATGTATGTGGGTGTGGGTGTGTGCCCAGAAGCTGACATCAGGTATCTTCCTCTCTCTTTCCACTTTACTTACTGACTCAGGTTTTCTCTCTGAACCCGGAACTCCCCAGGTCCAGCTTAGCCTCGCTGTCCAGTTTGCCCCAGCGGTCTCTGTGTCTCGATTGCTGGGGTTACAGGTGGACAGCATGCCTGCTCGGCTTTCATGTGGGTTTTGGGGATCTGAACTCTTGGTCCTCAAACTTGCTTGGCAAGAGATTTATCCACTGAGCCACCCTTCTGGCCCCCATGTCCTTTACATGTGTGCAAGAGATCTGAACTCAGTTCCTCATGCTTGCACATGAGCCCATCTCCCCAGCTCAGAAGTGGAAACTGGGGTATTCGCTTGATAGTACTTTTTTTTTTTTGTTACTACTTGAGTTGTGGAGGTTTTTCTTTAAAAAAAGAAAACACTTTATTTATACTTTATGTATGAGTGCTCTGTATTTATACCTGCACACCAGGTTGTGAGCCACCATGTCGTTGCTGGGAATTGAACTCAGGACCTCTGGAAGAGTAGCCAGTGCTCTTAACCTCTGAGCCGTCTCTCCAACTCAAGTTGTGGAGGTTTAAATGGAGAAAACAAAAAAGGAAAACAGAAGAGGCCCAAGAAAGCTACTGTGGTTATAGGAATAATGAAAAATAGCATCAACAAAAAAGTATTAAATTTGGCAAAGATTGATGATATCACAGAAGCTCAAATTTGAAATTACGACCATAGGCTGAAATATATTTCTCAATATTTTTTTCTCAATGTTTTATGTTTTCCTGTCAGCAATTTCTAGCTAAAATATCTCTTCAAACTTTCAGTAATTTTGTAGCCGCAGTTTAACTTACTGGACTAGAGGGATTCTTTGTTAGTTTGTTCTGATGGGATCCTGTTATCTACCCCAGGCTGACTCACTATTAGCCCTGCCTGGCTTCAAGCGCACAGCAGTCCTGCTGCTGCCTCCCGAGGTTTGCCACGCCAGGCCAGGCTGCCGGAACTGGAAGCTGCTAGGTATCCCAGGCAACCTGCAGTTCCCAATCCTGCTTCACCTTCTCAGAGTGGGATTGCAGGCTTTTGTCACCCTGGTTGACCTTGGCTGTTTGTTTTTCTTCTGTGACAGGGTCTGCTGTGTTGCTCAGTTTTGCCTCAAACTTGAGTCCCTCCTGCTTCTGCCTCATGGATAGAGAACTGAAGCACCTTGGCATGGAGTCACTATAGACAGGACCCAGATTCTCGGAACTGGCTTCTGCCCCAGTGTCACCATCTGTTGACCTCATGAACTTGAGCCTATCCAGTGGCCTTCGTTCCTTTGTGAAAGAATCTTCTTATTTATAAAAATAGGATCAAGTGCGCCCCTTCTGTCCTGGTTACCAAGAGGCACTAATGAAGACCACAATGAAATAAAGAAACAAATTACTTGCTTTAAAAAACAAAACAAAACAAAAAAAAAAACCCCTGTGTAATCGGTAGGTAAGAAGATGATCCAGCCTGAGCCGGTTTCCTGTCTGAGGTAGAAGCCGATGTGCGGCATGGCTAACACAGAGTTGGTCAGCACAGATGATTCATGAAACAGTTGAGTCATGATGCTTTGGGAAATGCAGTTTGGGCTAAGGCGGTTTGAACTCTGTCTCCACATTCACCTGCGACTGGATACTGGCTTCTCTAGAACATGAGGAGAGATTAGTTTGTGTTTCTGGCAGGCTTTGTGTTCTGTTTGCCTCTGTGGCTCTCCGGGAAGAACCCACTGCCACTGTGAGTATGGGCGTGGCTTCAGAACGGCAGGGTAGGCACCAGCGGGTCGCCAGAAGCAAGGACAGCTAATTCACAAAGCTTGTTATGTTTATGGTTTCAGGTAAGCATATATAACTATGTGTGCAATTGTTTTACACTGAGTAACGTACTCCAATGCCACCTTTGATTTGGGAGCACTAGGGTCCAGGGAGGACCACTGGCATGCAGGGAGGACTATTGGGTTGTGTGGTTGTTTCCAATCTCGTGCTTGTGGTGGCAAACAAACAAGTGGCAGGAACATAAAATTCATAACCTTTTCCTCCCGGTGATTTTTACCTCTTTTTCTGCCATGCTGCCCGGTCCTTTGCTCTCTGATGAGCTAACACGGCTTGCATCAAATCCAGTTTAGATGACTGGATCAGAGCATAAATGTTGACTTTGCTTTTGAACAGTGTTTGACCTCATTGGGCTTCTTCTTTTTTTTTTTTTTTTTAAGGGAAATAGTTTTTATTTATTTATTTATTTATTTACTTTTTGATTACCTCTTGAAAATTATTTATTTATTTATTTATTAAAGATTTCTGTCTCTTCCCCACCACCGCCTCCCATTTCCCTCCCCCTCCCCCAATAAAGTCTCCCTCCCTCGTCAGCCCAAAGAGCATTCAGGGTTCCCTGCCCTGTGGGAAGTCCAAGGACCACCCTTGACTATATAAATCTTTATCTCTGTTGAGTGAGCAATAGTGTCTGAAACCTCAGTATAGTAAAAAGAAAAAAAAAAGGGAAATATAAATATAAGTAGGGAGTAAATTGTTGATTAAATTCAATTTTGTGTGTATGTGTATGTCATTTATGTGTTCATGTGTGTGACTGTGTGCATATATGTGTTCATGAAGGTATGCATTTATGTGAGTGTGTGTGTGTGTGGTGCTGAACATTAAGTCCAGGCCTTTATGCAAGCATTCTGTCACTGCTATATTCCCAGGGCTATGCTCAGTGACTCCTGTACCCATTTTCAACCTCCTTTTTGTGTCATTGGGTCTAACAGAGAGTTGATTAAAAAGGACAGCCCCCAAAGCAGCTGTTTTTGTTGTTTGTGTGTATAGGAAACACAGAAGAGGCTGGAAGGAGTAAGTAGCTGGGAGACTCAATCTGTGGGTCTTGACCTCTTTGGGGGGTCAAACAACTCTTTCATAGGGCTCACCTAAGACCAGTAGGAGAACAGGTATTTACATTACGACTCACAACAGCAGTAAAACTGAAGCTATAAAGCAGTAATGAAAATAATTTTGTGGTTGGAGGTCACCACAACTTGAGTAACTATTTAAAGGGTCGCAGCATTAGGAGGATGGAGAACCACTGGGCTAGAGAGAGGAAAGGGAGGGAAGAAAAATGATATACTTCTATTTCAATTAAAACTTTTTTTTTTAAAGAAGCTGCTGCTTCTCAGCACATCAAGGCTGTGAAGAAATGTGGGTTTATTCCAGTGCCAAACAGAGAACCGCTAGCGGAAGCATCATGTAACAAACACCTGACACAGGGCTCAGGTGTCCAGCGTGCCTAGAAACAGGACTTCTCAGGTCTTCAGGGAGAGTAAGACTGTGGGAAGAAGGTTCAGACTTAGTTCAACCCATTCGAGTCTTTTCCAGAGCAGCACATCTCTGACTATAAAATGTAAATTTAAGAGGAAATACGGACTCTATATACAAAAACCTCAGCTTACGTATGCTTTACTTTTCATAAGGTATTTATGGCAAGAGATCTCTAGTTTACCCATTTCTAAGGGATTAACTACTGTAAATTCAGCACATTCTAATACTCCTGGGAGGGTAAATCCTTAACTGCCGAATTAGTTTTTAAGCTATATTGTTTTTGCTGGAACAGTTGGTAGGCTCAGGTTGCCTGGCGCCTTCACAGGCTGCTGTAGATTCGCTTGATGGCATTAGCTTCTTCCTTATCGAGGATGCCTTTCTCCACGTAAGCGTCAGCTTGCTGGTTGATAAAGTCCCTCATCTTTGAAAGGTCATAGTCTAGAAAATATTATTAGAGTATTGTGAGAAAAGATCAGGAAAAAAGAAAACCCATCACAGTATTTATTGTTAAGAGACATTTTGTGTATTTAGTGAATTTCCAGTCTTCACCTTCACAGTAGAAGATATGATGTTCTGGGTTTGGACTGTACTGTGCTGTTTAAAGTATTTTTGGGTACCATAATATCTCTCTACTACAACCCAGGGGGATATACCATCACCAACAAGGAAACAAGTTCCTGGACCAGTGCTGATGTGGGATTCCCCTCTGTATGCTATGAATATGTTTATTACCATTGGTTAATAAAGAAGATGCTTTGGCCTATGCCAAGGCAGAATATAGCCAAGTGGGAAATCTGAACAGAGATGTAGAGAGAGAGTAGGCAGAGTCAGGGAAATGCCATGTAGCATGGGAAACTTACCGGTAAACCACAACCACGTGGCGATACACAGATTAATAGAAATGGGTTAATTTAAGATGTAAGAGTTAATAAGAAGCCTGAGCTCATAGGCCAAACAGTGTTGTGATAAATATAGTTTCTGTGTGATTATTCAGGTCTGGGCGGCCGGAAAACCAACGTGCAGTGCAGTCTCCATTTACACAGGGCTTAGCAAATTTCAAAGTGTATGCAGCATCTGGGGCTCTTGGAGATTGCAGATTTATACTCAGGTGTGGGGTGAGGACCCAGTCTTTGAATTTTAAATAAACTCCCAGAAGGTGCTGTTGCTGAATCAGGAATGGTCCCAAACCTTCTGCTTTCACAAGTATAGCAAAATTATGGTTAAAGGCAACCTCCAGAGCCTATGATTTCAGCTTAAGTAATTTTTTCTGTTGTTTGTTTATTTTGGATTGTTTTGCCAAGTTAAGAATGTCTGTGATTATTTCATGGCTGTTTGAATTGTGTACATGGAGCAAAAAGTCAAACCTTTCCTGTTTCCTATGTCTATCCTTAAAAATCCAGGCAAACCATCAAACCATGCACCCGAAATAAAGAGGTCCCCAAGGAAGACTGTGACATCTTTCTAAAGACCCCCACACCCTTCCCCATCTCCTTTGTTTTTCAAGTATTAATTTTTGTTTCTTTGTTTGAAACAGGGTTTTACTCTGTAGTTCAGACTGGTTTAGAAATCACTATGAAGACCAGAGATTTGAACTTGAGGCAATTCTCCTGACTCAGCCTTAGAATTACACAGATGTGACACCATGCTCAGTTTGCAATTTACATTTTGAAAAGCACAACTTCCCCCCCCCCCCCCGCAACCTTAGGGCTTTATATATCCCTGTACCTGGAAGGTGGAGGCAGGAGGATCAGAAGTTCAAGACCACCGAAGACCACCGTCTACTATCTAGCAAGTTCAAGGCCAGCCTTGGCTACTCGAGACCCTGTTTTGAAAACAAAACCCAAGAGGCTTGTAGTTGCTGTTGTTTGTTTTGAGACAGGGTCACACAGGACTGGTAGCCAGCATTGGTCTTAAACTCACTCTGTAGCCTAATCTGGCCTCGGACTCTCAAGTGCTGGGATGACTGACAGGTTGTGAGCTCTCATGCTGGACGCAGTGCATCACATGACTGCGTCAAGAGGTCATACGGAGCGACTGATCTCCACTAGGTTTGTGTTGGTTTCATCTATGATGTTGTACAATGGCAAAATCCCCTAATAGCACATTTCCACCCTCAGAGTGGCACATGAATACTTGGAGGAACTCCTGTGATCTAAATGATTCCAAAGCCTGAGAGGCATCGCCCTGCAGCTGCCCTGGCTGAGCCCCTGGACTCACTCTGGACCACTCACTCTCCTCACAGCCCATGAGCTTCTCTTCTCCCTTCATTTCCTCGGCTTGCTTATGCTTCTGCCGCATCTTTTCTTGCCTCGTATTTCTCCTCCAGTTCTTGGCCTTGTCTTGCTCTCCAGGGCCTCATTTTCAATCTTTAACCACACGGCTGCTGGATGCTTTTCTTTTAAAACCACATTAGCTTCTAATTTAGGCTCCTGTGGCTAAGACTATCCCCCACTGTGGAGTGTTCAGAGCCCCTTCCTGGCCTGGCTGCATCACTTCCTACACCTGACTGCTGCTCCTCCCCACAGCAGCAGTCAAACTCACTCTGGACCACTCACTCGCAGGTTCCTGACAAAATACAGCTCGTTTCGGGAACACAATAGTCTCCTTGCCCACCTATTAACTGTACCTATCGTTTCTTCATCCTCAGAAGATTCTTCCTCCCTGCCGCCCGTTCCCCAAATGTTGTGTTGTCAAGATGACCCGAACTATCCTCTCAGTTCCTCAATGTTCCTGTGCCTAAGGAGGACAATACTGAGGAGGTCCAACCAGGGCCCCATATATGGTAAACTACCTGTGTGTGTGTGTGTGTGTGTGTGTGTGTGTGTGTGGTTGCTGCATCTTCTCGTCCTTTGTATCTCTGGAATATTGAACAGGGTTTGGTTCTTAAATTTGTTTTATGTAAGTGAGGGAGGGACTGCCTTTGAGAACATAGAATATACCCACTACGTGCTCAGAAAATACCCGTTTAAAATACTCTAAGAGTCAGGTGAGCACCGAGTAGCTAAGGCAGAAGGTTTGCTGTGATTCTGACCACAGCCTAGTATGTAAAGTGAGACCCGATCTCAAAATAAATGGAAACAAATAGTGATAATGATAAACCCTGAAGAGATCTGGGGTAAGATGGAATTGGCAAAATGTCAAAATCTGATCCCTATTCAAGATGGGTGCTGGAGACAGACATGGATATATTGTATTGTTCACTTTGTCTTTACTTGACATTTTTCATAATAAAATAACAAGAAAATGCTTTGAAAAACTGATTTGAAAAAGAAAGAAATGAGGTTTCGTATTTCAACAGACTAAAAGCATACTTACCAAACCTATAGCCAACCTTATACTAAGTGGAGAAAATCTGAAAACATTTCTTCTACCACCTATAATGACCAGTCTACCCACTTTTATCCAATATAGTCTTTAAAGACATAGTCAAAGCAATAAATCAGGATAAAGAAAGAAAAGCAACAAATACAAAAGATGGAAGTGAAATTCTCTCTTTTTCAGAAGATATGATCCTACATTGAAAAGACCTTAAAGACTTTGCCGTCACTCTCGGGTCTGATAAACACTTCAGAAAAGCAGCAGGATACAAAATCAACATGTGGAACACAGTAGAATTTCTATAAACTAACAACAAACTTATTGAGATGAAAAGTAGACAAGGATCCCATTCATAACAGCTTCAAAAGACCACTGAGACAGAAAAGCCACCAAGCGAGACATGGCGACGCACACCTTTAATCTCAGCACTGTGGAGGCAGAACAAATAGATCTCTGTAAACTCAAAGGCAGCCTGGTCTACGAGAGTTTCAGGCCTGCCACGGATACCTAACCAAGGAGGTGAAAGAAATTAGAAGATGGGAAGATGTCCTATGCTCATGGATGAGAAGAATTAATATCGAGAAAATGACTATAATACCACAAATGGTATACAGATTTAATGTACTCCCCATTAGATTCCAAAGACATGCTTCACAGAACTAGAGGAAAATCTTAAACCTCACATGGAAACTCAAAAGACCCTGAATAACAAGCAGAAAGACGGATGCTAGAAGTGACCTCAACAAAACAAACAAGCAAACAAAACTATTCTTCTCTATAATAACTTAAAAACCAAGAGAGAAGTGGTGGGCATATCCCCCATGACATCTGAGAGTCTGAGTTTGAGAGGAGACTTTACATCAGTCAATTTGACTTCAAGGATTGTAGTGTAAAAGGAACCCTGGGGAATGGGCAAAGTTTGTGAAGTACAACCACAGCAAGCCCTTACCTTCTTTGTTGCCCTTTTTGTTGTGTTTCTTCAACCATTCGATGTTTTTTCTAATGGCTTCCAAATAGGCTTCTGTTTTCCCTGGAAAAGGCAGGAGAGTCAGATTAAATATAAAACTTCACTGTGCCTCTTCTTCAAAGCCAGAACCATGTTCAAAACCATAGATACTGAACTTGTAGAACAATAAGTCTCTATTCAAGTGTGCACACATTTGCTCATGTGTAGGGAGTTTTCAAAGACAACATTGGGAATAAGATTCCAGACACAGACCATGCTGGGAACTATCAAGAATGGTTAGTTATGCTGCACACAAATTTAGTTTGATGTCTGCGTAGGCTTTTTAAAAAATTTTTTAAAAATTTTTAATTGTGTGCATTTGTGTGTGTCTGTGGGTGCGTATGTGCATGTGTGAATCCAGTTGTCCATAGAGACCAGAAGAAAGCATAAGATTCCCCGAGGCTGAATTAAAGGCACTTCTGAGCCATCTGACACGGGTGCTGGGAATTGAACTCAGGTTTTCTGCGAGAACACTATATGCTCTTAGACATTTCAGTTCCATTTCCCAGATCGATATGTCCCCATGATTCTTAAGATTGGGTAATTTCAGGTTAGGGATGGTTCTCGTGAGGAGCAGTCTCAAGTCAAAGCACAAGTTGGAATGGCAGGTGTTTGCCACCTCCATCTGTTGAAGGTTCACAATCTCTGGCTGTAGTCTCTCTCGCAACTCCAAGCCCAGTTTTGAGAGGGTCTAAGTCAACGTGCAGATGAGAAGGTTGGACCAGGCCTTTGGGTCTGTCAGGATGATGAACTTCTGAACCAACTCTAATAAAACTCCTTTAGATATACTGATATACTGAAAATAAAATTATATAGACAACTCTTGGCAAAGTTTCCCAGGATAACTGAGCACTGGCTCTGGGATATCGTTGGCACTCGTGCCTGGAAGGAGGTATTATTACCTTAAGAATGAGGACTCTGAGCCGGGCGGTGGTGGCGCATGCCTTTAATCCCAGCACTCGGGAGGCAGAGGCAGGCAGATCTCTGTGAGTTTGAGGCCAGCCTGGACTACAAGAGCTAGTTCCAGGACAGGAACCAAAAAGCTACGGAGAAACCCTGTCTCGAAAATTCAAAAAAAAAAAAAAATCAAGGACTCTGAAGTTTGACTAAGGCCACAAAATACGAATTTGGACTGTGTTGCTTGGATTCTCATATGTGCACCATCTGAAAGACCAGATCCCACGGTCACATGTGGACAGTGAGATAGCTCAGCTGACACTGAAGCTATCTATCATCTCTATTGATATGAACTCTTATGTTCAAAGTGTAGCAAGACACCAGGTAGCCTCCCCTCTCTCTTTCATCTAACAGTAGAGTCCAGAACCTCTGTAGAGCTGGTTGTCCAGCTGCTGTGTGGCAATGCCATCAATCTGAGGCCACCTTGAGCCCTGATGCCACTAGTGACTGCAGAGCTCTGTCTGCTCTAGCTGGGCCATGTGCTTACCATACGCCACAGGTTGTTCTTCCTGCTCCAAAATGCATTCCCATCCACCCTTTCCTCTCAACAACTTTTTGAGGCAGCCCTAACATCATCGCTTAGTTCACAGATGAAGATGCTGAGGCACAGAGAGAGTGAAGCAATATCACATATATACATATGTTCGTTGTAGAGCCGGGACTGCGCTTGGGGATTCTGATGACAGTCCATGTGCAGTGTATCACTGCCTTAAGACCTGCCAGGGTTATATTTCCACAGTTGCATGTAAGAGGACTCTCTGGATAGCTTTCTTCCTGGCCCGAAGCCCACGCAGACTTCATGATTATGACTTCATGCTATCAAGTTCCCAATGAAGTGCCGAGAAACTTCTATGGAAAAGGGATAAACGGACAATAAAAGAGACTTGCCACAATTTTTGGCCCCTATTCGCTGTCTTCACTTATGCAAGAGCGGCTTTGGTTTCAATGGTTTGTTTCTATGAACGTGAGGCTTGTTTGCATGAATGTCAGGTGAAGGGGTAGTGGGTTATAAGCACTTGCTTCAAAAATCTGATGGCCTGGGTTCGGTTCCGAGAACCAATGTGAAGTGGGAAGGAGAGGGCTGGTGCTTGAAACCTGTCCTCTGATCTCCACACACCCTGCCTAATAAAAATAACACATGTAAAGCAATATGAGTCAGAACACGTACAAAAGAATGTCCCAGGTTAGTGTTAACAATTCAGTACATGGGCGTTGGTGCTGTTCGTTACTTGTTATAGAGTTGACCAGCAGGATTTAGTAAGTTTGCTTATTGATTTATTTGAGACAAGGTTTCTCCATGATTCATGGTTGGTCTGCAACTTTCTACATAGACCAGGTTGGTCTACAATTGGTGGCTATCCTCCTGCCTCTGCCTTCTGTGTATTGGGATTATGGTGTGAGCCACCGTGCCTCCGTCTGGATTTAGTAATATAGTGATTTCTATTTCAAAATAATTTAGTTAGATGAGGCATTTTGAACAAGGAAAGAAATCTTAGTGCAGTGTAGTCTACTTCAAACTTAATTCTTCTTATAAAGAGTTTAAATCAAGTTAGTGATATTCATATGACGTATTTTAATAAATAGATAACAATTTATTGTTAGAATATTAGATAATTAGGGCTTCTGAAAATTTTGAGTATATCTTAATATATTCTGATTTTAATAATTAAAAATAATTTAAAGCATTCTTTTGAAAATCTAATCTTTGATATCATATTATAATGTGGAAATCTTATGTGATAAAAAGAAAATCAATGCTTATTCACTATTTAAATACTACATTAAAATGCTGAATTAGGAAGGTTAGAATATTTTGAGGGCCTGAGAACGGCATGTAGTTCAGTTGAGAGGTTTTGCCTAGAATGTACAAAGCCCCAGGTTCTATCCCCAGCAACACACAATGTTTGGTAATTCATGTTTATAATCTTAGCACTTGGGAGGTGGAGGCAGGAGGATCTGGAGTTCAAGGTCATCCTCAGTTACCTAGTGAGTTCAAAACCAGCCTGGAATATATAAGACCCTGGTGGGAACATGGGGGTTTACAATTTTAATCCTGGTACTTGGGGCAGAGAGGCAGAGGAGCAGAGGGTCAGAGGGGCAGAGGGTCTTCCTGAATTTGAGGTCAGACTGGTCTACACGTTGAGTTCCGTGACTGCCAGAGCTTTTAGTGAGACCCTGCTTAAAAACAAACAAACAAACAACAAGAACAACAACAACCCAGCACATGTTGTCCACCTTTGAGTCCTCCCCATTTAAAGATTTATTATTTTCTCTCTCTCTCTCTCTCTCTCTCTCTCTCTCTCTCTCTCTCTCTCTCTCTCTCCAGGGTTTCTCTGTAGCTTTGGAGCCTGTCCTGGAACTAGCTCTTGTAAGACCAGGCTGGCCTTGAACTCACAGAGATCCGCCTGCCTCTCTGCCTCCTGAATGCTGGGACTAAAGGCCTGTGCCACCACCGCCCAGCTTTAATTTTTATTTTATGTGGATGAGAATATTTCTGCATGTACGTAAATGCACTGTGGGCCTGGTGGCCCTGGAAGGCAAAAGAGGGCATGGGATTCATTGGAACTGGAGTTACATGATGGCTATGAGCTGTCACGTAGACGCGGGGAATGGAACCTGGGTATTTGGGAAGAGCAGCTAGTGCTCTTAACCACTGAGCCCCTGGGCCTCCTTTATTCACCTATGATAACAGGACAGCTCTCAACTGATAGACAATAAAACGACAGATCAGTACTTCAGCCTTGTGTTCCTCAGGCATGTCCACACAGCCTCCTCAGTGCTTCTAAGTCTTTGTTGCCCACTGACGAACCCTGAAAATTAACACATATCTAGGGGTAAGAAATCAAGTATCAGCCTCTTAATATATAACCCTGAGGTTATTCAAATATGTGGCAAAGTCTGGCAGCCAGTGTCACCAGATCTGAGTCCTCCACACATTTCCTGGGACACGGGTGAAAGTGGGGATGAAGTCAGATGTCCTCTGCTCCTGGAGAGGAGCAGCTGGCTTTTATTTACATTTTCTCTTCCCTGAGCTGCAAAGTAAACCTTTTATTTATGCAGTGTGCACTGAAAGCCCATGAGAGTCCACTTTGGAACACTGGGCTGTGGTTTTTTTTTTTTCCCAATTTATTTCAGCATTCCATGGAAAAAAATAGCTCATGGCTGTGAGGTAATATGGCATGAGGCTTAAAACACATGCTGAAGTAGATGGGAGGGAGCCAGAGTCAAGACGCAGGCCTGCTTCTCTGGATGTTCTGGTCCTCAGTGCCATAAGAGAAATATCCCTTCATACACATGGCCTTTTTGGCCCTGATGTACTATCTTGACCTCTTCCTGCCCTGAACAAAAGCATAGAAATCGATATGGTTGATCTACTGAGTACTTCAGACCCTAACGACATTAGAGCTTTAAGAACATTTACAACACAAATAACGACAAAAGACCCCCCTCTCCTGTCCCCCTCCCCAAATGGGCCAGCAGATAAGTGCACTGGCTGCCAAGTCTAATGACCTGAGTTCAATCCCCCGGATCCACGTGGTGGAGGGAGAGAACTGACTTCCGAAAACTGTGCTTTGACCTCTGTGTGCCTGCTATGGTGTGTGCACTCCATAAAGAAATTAATGACAAAACCACAAGTATTTGTAAAGACTTGTTTTCTGTAATGCTCAAAACGGTGTCACTATTACATGGCTACAGTTTTGAACTGCACATCTCAAAGCAACTGGCACAAACACCAGCAAGGGTGAGAATGTAACTCAGTTGGTTGAGTTCATGCCTAGGATGCATGAAGCCCAGGTTTGATCCCTAGCACCACGTACGTTGAAACGGTGATGCATTTCTGTAATCCCAGCACTCAGGAGGTCACGGTCACCCTCAGTTACATAGGGAGTCTGAGGCCAGCTAGGGTATGCGAGAGGTTATCTTGAGAAAAGAAGGAGGAGGAATAAAGACAGAAGAATAAAACAGAAAGGAGGGAAGAAGGAGGAGAAATATAATTTCTCCACAGGGATAGTATTTTAAATGGCCACAGGATGCTGTTATAAATGCCGGAAGGCCCTGGATTAAGA